ACCCTCAAGCTAAAGAGACATGAGCCATGTTCCTCATGGCCACACTTATCTTTCTTCCTGGGTAATGGGCAGCCAAGGCCCAATATGCACCCACGTATCTGCCTGCCTGCCTCGATCAGTGGGGGCAGTTCCACCAAGACCGGGCAGGCTGCAGTGGGTGGAGTCTAGCTGTAGCCTCAGGCGCCTGGCAAATCCTTAATGGGCCAGAATGAAGGATCCCAGCTTGAATTCGGTACAGTGGTCCTTCTGAAGGGTCCTCCCAGCCCTGACTGCTGGGTCTGTTGGTGGAGACTGGCTCGCTCCCTAGGTTACCTCATCAGGGTGCTGTAGCTTTGGCGCCAAGTTCTTGCCTCACCTTTGCCCTTTCTGCTGAAATGGAACCAGCTGTTTCTTTTATTTTGTTCTGAGTTGCTGATGGTCCTTTAGAACTGCAAAAGTTGGCAATAGATTGTTCTCACAGTCTGCTGACATCCATGTAATCTCTGGTATATCATACATATTTCCTCCGTAAGATGGGCTGATGGTGTGTATTCGTCTCTCAGGGACACATAAAGCTTCCTTAATCACAGCCTCAGAGAATGACAGGTTGACAGTTGTTTATTCAGTTTCTTACCCTTTGGCATCCTCCCTGCCTCTGGGTCACAGTGGCCCTGGGGGTACTGGCAGGGATTTAGAACTCCATGAGGATGCTCAGCTGACTCCCGGGCAGACAGTAAGGGGGTAAGACTCTTCTCTACTTTGAGCTGCAATCTGTCTCCTTGAAACCTACCTCCAGTTTTAATTTTGTCTACAGAATATGCCCACCAGCTCTTTAGCAGTAACGACAGCAGGACTTATGGCGAAATTTACAAGAAGCAGCAGGACATTTTCTATCTTTCCCGATGCTCACCACCTTCCTGTCCTACCCGTTTCCCAGATGAGGCGTGAAGGAGGTAAAGCCCCACAGTTAGGTCCGGTGGTCACAGTGACAGCAGAGCACTGAGTCACCAAGTTACGCTGACACACTCTGCATGTGACAGCCCTTCCTGTCACAGTCCTGCCATTACTGACACCCAGTCTCTCCTTTTGCATTCATTAGTTGAACTCCTTTGATGTTCTGTATACAGAGTTCTCTGTCATCACGGTGATTCCTGCTTCTTTGGATTCTTTCTGGTTGGAAAGAATCATCTGGAAATTTGGTGCCTATGAGGAAGATGCGTTTTGATACATTTTAGTTTCATTTTAAATATGAAATTGCCACATAGTAAAAACCCATGCTTATCATAAGAGAAGTAAATTGCTGGGGTTTTTCCTTGTCTGAGAACAGCATACAAATGTGAGACTATGGGATTGGGAGGTTGAGTTATTTGAGTCTAGAACAGGGTTTGGCAAAATTTTTCTGTAAAGAGGCCAATAATACATCTCTTAGGTCTGGCAGAGCTTACAGTTTCTGTTACACTAATTCAACTCAGCCACTGTTGGTGAAAGCAGACATAGCATATAACCAATCGTAGTTGTGTTCTAGTAAAATATTATTTACAAAAACAGGTGACAGCTGGGTTTTGACTTTGGCTTTGTACTTGATTGGGTTTCTCTTGATAATGATAAACTTACCCTGGTGGGTTCTGAGAAGGATAGTCCTAGGTGCTATCATTTTTAGTAGCACTCTTTTAGTTTCAAAAGCGTCTTGGTCAGTGAATAATGTATGATCACCCTAATATTATGTCACTTTCAGGTTCTAAGTGAGACTAATGTGAAATAGAAACTGGTTTCCATCCTTACTACAGTCACCTGTTTAGTGCTACAAAATAATTTGTGTCAGGACTTTTCTGCTTCGGGGGACAGTTCAGCAATTTCCTGTCCTATTCCAGTTCAAGAAGAGGGCCCAGCAGTAAGCAAAACTCAGGGAGGGAAAAGCAGAGACCCCCCCAGAGGAATGTCTCTCACTCACCTTTTGGAGTACAACTGGTGTGCTGGGCATTGTACCAAAGGCGTCATAGGGTCTCAGGAAATGCCCATGAGTTCAGTATGGTTATTATTTCCATTTTATTGATGAGGAAACTAAATTACAGAAGATTAGGAAATTTGGGTCACAGAGATAAAAGATTTGGATTCAGACCTGGATTGTCTTATCCTAGAACTCAAGCTCTGAAATTGAGCAAGCATGAAATGATTAAGTGTAATCATTAAATCAGTCAAAGGCAGGTAGGAGAAGATTGGGACGATCTGGCACATGTTACCTCCCACCTTATCCATCTTAGGCATAAATATCACTGAGGTCAGGGAGTGTTACCTGGGCCTTTCAAGGGTAGTACAGGAGTTATAAAATACTTAGGGCTCCTGGCTGAGAGAAGCCTTAAGGCACTGGAGGGACTTGAGACCAGAAGATCTCAGGTGGGCCAGGATGTCCTTAATTTAGGGGATATAAAGCTTTTGAGTAGACTTTAGGGGCCACCTTTTGCATTAGAGCTGCCAGTGGTGTGCTCAGGGCTTTGGCTGGCTGGGTTGAGGGCTGGGTGGCCGGGAGGGTGCCAGCTGTGCTTCTCACCATCACTGCCCCTCTGCAGCAGAGTAAAGAAGTCAGCGTTCCTGCAGCAGCTGCCTGGCACTAAGGATGTGTGTTTCCCTGGGACACCTGTGCCTTCTGGCAAGGACAGTGGAGGGAGAGTAGCTCACATTAGCCTCTAGACTCTTATACTTTAGACCCTCATACTTCCAGCTCAGTGATTTAAGAAGAACACCAAGTTGTATATAATTTTCAAAGGGAGTTGCCTTCTTTAGATAAACCTGTGCCAAAAGGAAATCTTTAAAAGTAATTTCCATCACTTCTTACTATTTCTGGGTGGTATTTTTTTGTGCAGTTTCCAAAGCAGTGACCCTAACCACAGTGAGGACAGTCATTTGGAGCTCTTGCAAACTCCTCAGAGAAAAGTGCAGAGAAGGGTGCCTGTAGGTTTGGTTACCAAACTCCACCCGGGAGTGGGAGGTGAGGGTCAGGAGTCAGTGAGCTTGTCTCCTGGCCTCAGCTTTTTAACATATGTCCTTTGAGGTGTATTCACGTTGATGTGTTTTCCCAGATTTTGAATGTTGCCCCAGGACAACTGTCTTAAGTTCATTTTGGCATCAGGACAAATGAGAGGATGTTTCCTATTTGCTGACTCTTGCCCCAACTTCTTTCTCTGTTCTGTTAAGCTCTTGGGTAAATTCTTTCCTCTGTATTCCACATTTTAACTGATGTTAGGGCACCAAGTGCAAAAATCTGCAAACAGTTAGTTGAGCATTCTGATCAGAGCATGCTGAAGTTAGAGTTCTCATAGCACAGAAAGATCACCCTCTGTACAATGCATTAAACATTTAATAACTGTACTAATAATCCCAAACACTATAATGGGGCACATGAGAGCCTTAATGTGGTTGAAAAAAAAAAAAAAGTATTTCTTCACTGTCAAGTTAACTTGCATCAAATTGAGAGAAATTATTTGAGGCAACTTTGAGGGGCCGGAGCTTTTTAAGCCTAAGAACAAATGGTATATTCTGAAAGTAGTTTTTACATAGAAAGAAATAATAGAGATATTATTGATATTATTTCTATTTCTAATTAGAGACGTAGTGTGGCGTGCTTTTCCTTGCAGTTTAATACTTTGCAGGTTGAGCGATGTCCCAAGTCTGTAGCATCTGCTATGTGTCAGGGTAAGCGATTTTGAGTAAGGCTGGCAGCAAAAGTCAGTGTTGGAACACAGGTCTGTCTCCCTGGCTTCAAGACCTGTTTTCTGATTAGGCATGGGGGCTGTTTGAGTTTGGCCCTTTTTGAAGTATTTTAGAAAATAGGACAGTGTTGAGGGATAAAGATCAAAGGTTGATGTGTTTTGTGTTAAATTAGATTCACGTTTATTTGTAAGTTGAAGCATTTTTTAAGAAAGCATTCTCTTATGAAACAGGTGTGCTTTTAAAATGATGCAATTGCTTTCCAAAGCTCAGAAAGAAATGATTAAAACAAGGATGAAGTCCAATAATGTAATCATCAGTTTTACTTTGTTTTGGCTTATTAAAAATAGCATTGGCTCCTTACTCCAAATGAAATCCAATCAAAACACAGTTATAGTGTGAATACGTTAAGGTCTTAGGAAACTGATATTTCCCAAGTATTTGGAAGGAAATGATGTCTTCTGTATAAAATTCATGTCATAAGCATAGCCCATCAGTTCACTAGACTGAATATTATACCTGAATGATAACTTTTTTAAATTTAAAAATTTGTTTCGTTGAAAGTTTAAGATATTTGCATATATTATTATTTTAGGTCTGTTTGTATGGTTAATAGCAGAATATCAATTAGTTCATTTGTTCATTCTTTCTTTCCTTTCTTTTCTTTCTTTCTTGTCTTTCTTGCTGAGACTGGAGTGCAGTGGTCTAATCCTAGATGAGTGCAGCCTCCAACTCCTGGTCTCAAGTGATCATCCTGCCTCAGCCTCCTACGTAGCTGGGGATATAGGCCTGTGCCACTCTGCCTGGCTAACTTTTATTATTATTATTATTATTTGTAGAGAGGGAATCGTGCTATATTGTCCAGACCGGTCTCCACCTTTGATCTTTGAGCAATCTTCCTCCTTCAGCCTCCCAAAGTGCTGGGATTATAGGTGTGAACCACTGTGCCCAGCCTCAATTAGTTCTTTCTTAAAGCTGATAATTTAAGAAAATTTTTTTCTTTACACCTGATTTTGCTGTGTAGTCACCTGAGAACACCTCTCTCAGTTGCTTTTTGGGGCTATTTGTATCTTCACCTTAGTATCTGGCCCAGTAGTACCATCTTTGGCAAGTTCATGTACACACACACAGACACACAAAATACTGGCAAATGTTTATTCTTTAAAGGGAAATTTAGTTTTTCAATTTAGAAAAAAACAGCTGGCTATTGATGATAGGCTAATGTTAATTGAGCAAAGCTGAGGGTAGGGCTCTAAAATAATGAAATTTGTTTTCCTTGTGAACTGACTCTGAGGGCTGTTACTGAAAAGAAATTTGTGTTACAGCAGCACAGATACTAAAATTGGAATGATAAAGGGACGATTAGCACTTCCCCTGCTCAAGGATGACATGCAAATTTGTGAAGCATTTCATATTTAAAAAAAAAAAAAAACAGTAAAGAAATTCCTGAGTGTTGACTGCTTTCAGGAATGAGCGCTCTGCCTGCTAAGGTGTGTGCATGTTTGCACGTGTTCATTCTGGGACGTTTTCTAACAAATTGCTATATTCTTCATCAAGACAAATCTAACATGGAGCAACTCAAAGCTCCCCCCATTGAAGACAGCTGTGATAGAAATGTCACGTTGTAGTAAGTTCACCGCCTTGTCTTCTTAAAAGGAATTCACTGGCATCAGCAAAGAAAATCTCTGAGAATGGTTTAGGTGCCTCCATTGGCTTTTATTCTTCTCCCTTTCTGGGTAGTTACAGCTTTGTTCTGAAGTGGCCCATAACTGTGTCTGTGTTTTACATCCCAGCGGATTCCTAACACCAAATAAGGTATCGCTTCTCCCAGCTGTCTCTGTTTCTTTCCCTTCAATCTATATAATCTTTAATAGATTTGTTTTGAGGTCCAGCTTATCTTTTAGATCAACCTGCAACTTAAAACCAGCTAGATGAACATGTTTAGATG